CAAAAATTGCTACGGACAATTAAACAAAGTTTGAGTTGAAATGGGGCAGATTGCAACTTAATTTAATGACAAAAGAAAAGGAACCAGAATAGTGCTGCTGCTGACCAGAAAGACTACCAACGTCGCCGCCGGAATTAAATTGCGTCGAATTGCTGAATCGCAGATTAACACCGCCGAACACCAGAACCGGTTGCCGCCTCCGGAATTAGTCCGGAGTGAATTGATCCGGGGTGAATGTGATGATCCCCTGATGAAGACTAATCCCTCTTTTATATAGCCTAGACTCAACCGCTTCTCCGGTCTATTCTCCGATCTCCCACCGTCCGAAGCTTGAGCTAATCAATCGGATCGTAGCTTTGAAGGAGAAGAAGTCTACGATTCTTTCGCTCATCTTGTCCGGCGCTCTTGTTCGCGAGAATCGGTCGGCTCCCTCTTCGTCCGCTTCTTACCATTGACATGAAGAAAATAATAATAATAATAATAATAATAATAATAATAATAATCTTATTAGAGTCCATGTATAACTAATCTACATTTATTAAACTTCTACTGATCATGTACTACTAAAATTAATATTATTATTATTAAATTAGGATTAAGGAATTATTGAACTGACAAAATTTAAATAATAAAACAAACTTAATAAGTAAAACAAACTAAAATTGAATAATATTAATAAAGCTACTTATGACAATAATAAATAAAAATAGATAAGAATTAATCAATTATTACAAAATAACTATAAAAAGATTATTAAAAATAACACTAAAAATAATGTTTATCAACGCCCACCGGCCAAACGTCCACACCAGTTTCTCCCCGACCTCCGTACCCCGAATGGACTGGAGAAAACGAGCGCCCGATTCGGTGTCCTGGAAAAGATGTTGGGCGAGCTTGTCCGGGTCATTCTGACGAGCCCTTAATTCGGCTGCTTCCCCGATCGCCTGCTGGGCGACCTGCTCTGAGAGATCCCGCTCGGCCTTAGTCTTTTTGAGCTCGGCCTCCAGGTCCCGGATCTCCTGTAATCGCCGGTTGGCGACTTTCTTCAAGGCCTCAGCTTCGTTGGCCTGTAACGCCCGCTGTTGAAGAAACTGGGCTGCTCGGGAGATCTACAGTGCACAAACAATCAAGTTAGCCGAGTGGACTTACTTAAGAGAAAACTTGAAAGAAGAAAATATGCTTACCTCAGCCAAGTCTTGACCGATTTTCTCGGCTACCTGGCTCGGGGTCAGCTTAGAGATATCCTCCTTAGCTGACCCGGCATTCCCAATCCGAGTGAGGATCGAAGAACCACCTTTGCTGCCGCCGCCTGAGGGCGTCGGGCTGTGCTGCTCGCGGCGCCGCTTTAGGGCCCCGGTCTCCGAGGCGGTTTTCTCCGTCATATTCTCTTTTCCCTTCCCGACCGCCACTCGGGCGACCAGGACCTCCGAGGCGTCCACCACGTAGCCTTCAGTCGTGGTGACGGTCGATGCCCCTATGGGTCGGGCAACAGGAATCTCTTTTTCCCCGGCCGGCTTGGCCTGGGCCTTCTTCTTGCCAAGGGAAATCTTGGTCACCGGGCGTAGAGGAACGTCCTCGTCTCCGAAACCGGCCATCTCTGCAAACAAAAACAGTGGGTTAGGTCGAGTTAAGAGTGATCGGGATGTTAAGGGTCCGGAATAGGATTTGCCTCAAACCCTTACCCTTCCTTTTACCCCGAGCGGGCATCCGTGCAATTGTTACACCAGCCGGCTCGGGTTTATATTTCTCGGTCAGAACGTAGACCGGCTCGGGCAGCCGGGCCGCTTCGTAGCACTCGGGCGATTTGAAGATGCGATATTCATAAATCTCGCTCGAGATCTTGGTCACAGCATCTATGAGGGCCTGGGTCTCGATTGGGATGACTTGCTTTCGAAAGCGTTGACTCCAGACCCTCTCGACCGGGAGGATCCACGGATCGTACTTTACAGAAAAGATCCGGTTCTTCCACCCCCGGTTGTTCCCGAGCAGCCCCTCAATCGAGCATTTATCCGCTCGGGACTGGGTCATCAAGAATCCACACCCCCGTACGCGGCCGCCAGCACCTTCACTTGGTAGACGAAGTTGAAGAGCTCCATGGTGCAGGCTAAGTTGTGCCGACTGCAGATCTGGGGGAAACAGGCGATCATACGGTGCGCGTTCGGGCAAATCTGCCCGGGCATAACCTGGTAGTAGCCCAGGAATGCGGTGAGGAGGCTGGAGAAGGGGAACGTGATCGGGGCCATTAACGAATCGTAATGCATCCCGATCCACTTCCCCTGATGCCGCTCGATGATATTCCCGAGCTGCCTGCTGGTGTCGAACTCGACCCGACCAGCGAGAGTTGCCGCGATTCTGCTTGCTTCTCCTTTTGTCAGCAAGCTCGTCTGGCCTTCGACGCTCTCGCTGTTGAGGAACTCAAACCCGTCCCCGCTCGGCGATGCCGGCCCGGCCGGGTCTTCCTCATCCACTTCGGTTTCGTTTGCCCGATGTCCTTCCTCGGGCTCGACCTGAGGGTAATCCCCTATTACCCTCGTAGGCGTTTCCCTAACGCCTTCGTCCGGGGAGTTTCGTCTGCTCGGGGACGTTTCGTCGCTCCCCGACCTGCTGGAGCTCGACCCCGATGTCCCCGACGAGCTCGATGACCCTTTTGGCTCGGGGGCTCGGTCGAGTATGTGTTGTGGTCGTTGCTCGACCTCTGGAGAATAGGACATGATGTCCACCTCCTCGCTGCTGTGCTCGATCGTGTTGTCGTAGTCTGCGATCGAGGCGTTCTGGCTATCCGAATCCGACATGTTTTCTACCTAAAGGTCGGTCGGGGTAAGTACAGGGTTCGGGAAGTTAGCTCGAAGTTAGTTCTATCCTACTCCTACGCAAAGTTAAAAGCAAAGTAAAAGCTAAAGAATAGAGAGTTTACCGATTGGAGAAACTTCGCTGAAGTTGGTAGGTAAGTTGCTCGGTTGATCTGCTGAGTAACTCGCTCGGGACTCTTAGAGGGTGCCGATTGGATCAGAAGACTGAGGAAAGCTCATTTGAAGGCCTCAAGGGCCTATTTATAGGAGAGCACTTGGGCGGGAAACCAATCCACTTGCGTGACACGACCAGAGCTGATTCCGAGGCGACCGTTGCAGTCGCAGAGGCCGGCAGTGGCCGACACGTGGCGAGGGAAGGAATGACAGCTGGCCGGTCGGTTTGATGGCTGACGTTTGGGCTTCTTCATCCCGTCCCGTTTTTTCCCGGACGGTCAAAAAGGCCCGGACTGGGGGGCTTTTGGTAGGGAATATCCCGACCGACATAAGCTTTACCCCGACCGATTTGCCTTTGTTTTTCTCTCTTCGTTTTGCAGGTAACAGGTCGGGCTTCATGTGAAGAACCCGGTCGGGGTCCGACCGGGAGTTGCCCGAGCAGTAGTGTCGACCACCGAGCGGTAGCCCTTTGGCGAGAGAGCTGACAAAGGACACGTGGCAGCTCTTTACGACGACAGACAGGGCACCCGGGAGGATGACACGTGGTGGCTACGTGGAGAACATGCCGAACGACCGGATTCTTATCCCCGGCACAGCGGCTATAAATACCCACAGTAGCTACAGTGTAGAGGACTTTTTGGACGATCGATAGGTTGTTACTAGAGAATCCCGACCGCAGTCAGTCGGCACTCAAGGCAACCAAGTAGATTGTACTTAGGGCCTCTACCGTGATCAATAAAGATATTTACTTGCTTTAATTGGTCTCGGGTTTATTTTATATTGCTTACGTAGAATTAGCAGTATCAATTATTATTACTTCAATTTGTTTATTTTTATTATTATTATCATTATTACCCTTTTGATCATTTTACATATTAACCGCTAATCTTTAAACAGCTAATTTTACCAAACGTTTTTTTACAAACCGCTAGTACAATTCGATGATCAAACCCGCTAATACAATTCGTTATTTGATAACCGCTAATACAATCCGCTACTGCTAACCGCTGATAACCAAACAAGCCAGTATAATTTGTCCATGTATTCATTACCATCATTAATGGGACTATGGGTTTCCTTCCCGCCCCTTTTTATTTGTTACTGCGTACTAGTACGATACGAGGTATGAATTGTTAAGAAATTAATTTCATTTTTGGTCATACACTTATTATTTATTTATAGGTAATAAATTATTTTTAGTTATTTTTTTAAAACATCCTCTTTTGATCTTAATATTATTGTGGCATGACTATTTTTGGTCTTTCATCAATAAAAAAGTTTAAATTTCGTAAAATACAAGAACATTTAGGTTTCCAATTATAATTTATTTTCAACAAAAAATAAAAATAAAACATAACGGGTTAAACCATTTTGTATAAAAAAGATCAAAATGTCATTGTATTTAACAACATTTCAACGATTTTTTTTTGACGAATGACAAAAAATTATCATACCACAATGATACTAGGACCAAAGAAGAATATTTTGAAAAAAGGACTAAAAGTAAACTCTCACCTATAAATCTAGGACAAAAATATAATTAACTCAATTGTCAACAACTTAAGTTTTACTTAGGGTGTGTTTAGTTCAAACATGGGAATTAAAATCTGAATGGGAATCAAATACTTGATAATTAGAATGGCTTTTGGTGAAAATATTTAACATGTTTGCTAGTAGAATAAAATTGAAATGATTACCAATATTGATGTTTGGTTATGTATGACCCTATAATCAGAATAAAAATTTTAAAAATACAAAACAAAAAAAAAAAACAAAAAAACAAAACAAAACAAAAAATAAAAATCAAGGCAATTAATCTTAAGAGTGACCATAAAATAAGTAGGCGATGCAGTGAGGAAGTCGATAAAGTGAGGAGGCAAGGAAATGATGAAATAAGGAGAGAGAAGGGAAAATTAATGTGTATTGATACCCAGCAAAAAGTCCTCTGAATATAATAATTTTCCAGGTTTAGTTCTCGTCTTTTAATTTAGACAAATGTGACATTTGACTATCAAAATCTTTCCACTATCAAAATGCTGGGATCAAAGCTCTTCCTATAAGTTGATATAAATAACAGCAACCTTTGAACAAATCATTGTTCCAATCAATAGCCTTAAACATCATTTCTCACATTCTACCTAATAGACTGTACAGACATTAAAAGAACAAAGAAAACTGATAAGCTGAAAAAAGTGGAAAGCTTTCTAATAGAATGGTAATATATGTATAAAAGAAATGCTAGACTTCATCCAAAACGTGTGAAATTATTCGAGAACTCAACGTATATATATAATTATATATATCTATCATGGCTTCGTCGTTACCATGCTCTACCTTGCTCATACCTGTTCAGTGAGCGTCTATCGTATCTCTGGCAACAATCAGCTCTTCTAGCTCAATACCTTCGTCGCCCTCTGAGGGCATCATGATGTCAGCGTCGGTTGTGAAATTGTACTGCTCGCCAATGGCTCGGAGAAGCTGGAAGACTTCAAACATTGTGGGCCGCTCCTTGGGAGCGGGCAACACACACCGACAAGCAACTTTAAGGACTTGGAAGACCTCATTGTCGTAGCCGTTTCCAAGGAGAGATTTGTCAATTGATTCGCGAAGCTTGGATTCACCGGAGAGATTGGAAATCCATTCCACTAAGTTCCCCTTGAAGCTCTCGGGGGCTTTGCTCACGTATGTTGGTCTTTCGCCCGTGACCAACTCCAGTAGTACTACACCGAAGCTGTAGACATCGCCTTTAGGCGTGGCGACGAGAGTCCGTGTGTACTCGGGGGCAACGTAACCGAGGTCCCCGAATTCACCGTTCACGAATGTACTCAAGTGAGTGTCGATTGGATTCATGAGCCTAGCGAGTCCAAAATCGGATATCTTGGGTTCGAAATTTGAATCCAACAAGATGCACTTAGAACTAATGTTGCGGTGAATAATCCGGGGGTTGCAGCTGTGGTGGAGCCACGCAAATCCTTGAGCTGAGCAAACGGCAATTTTGAGCCTCGGATGCCATTCGAGCGTTTTGTCCCCTTCGTTCACAAAATGTAACTTTTCATGCAAAGTACCATTCTTCATGTACTTGTAGACCAATATCTTTTCTTGCTTGGCCACGCAAAACCCTAAGAGAGGAACCAAGTTCCGGTGCTTCACGTTTCCAAGAGTCGCCATCTCAGACATAAATTCTTTCTCAGAGTGCTGAGCGTTTTGCAATCTCTTAACCATAAGAGAAGTACCATCCTCGAGCACGGCCTTGTAAACGGTCCCGGTTCTTCCCGACCCAATGATGTTCCCCTTGTGGAAGTTGTCAGTAGCCTTCATGAGATCACTTAATCTCATTTTCGAGACCGACTTCTCAAACATTGAAAGCTGAAAACAAAACCATCATGGTTTAAAACACAGCTATAACATTAAGCAAGAAAGCAAAAAACTTCTTCTTTTTTTTTTGAAATAAAGAGAGCCTTTCATAACCAGCTTGGTTGAGTGGCCGTGCACTCTTGTCCCTTAAGATCTTGTCCCTTAAGAGAGGTCGGGAGTTCGAACCCCCTCTCGTATGGAAAAACCAATTTGGCCTACACTTTGCCCCTTAATTGGGCCGGCCCGGTGCAAACTGGGGTTAGTCTGAGTATGGTACAGGCTTAAAGGTGCCTCCTACAGTTAGGGTCTGCTCAGAGCACCTCGTGGTCTAACAAAAAAGAGAACCTTTCATTCATTCATATACCGCCTCAAACTGTCCATAATGACAGGAGAGGGTTCAAGAAACCAACAATTATATTCAGACATGGAACAAGCAACCCTAGCTAGATCGTGGGCTACCCTGTTCGCTGAACGCTTAACAGAAGAGAATTTAACTTATTAATCCACCATAATGGTATCTTAAAATTCTCTATGGCAAAGGAAAAGGAATAAAATGTCCAATGACATGTATTACTAAAAAGTCACATAGATTACCGACAAGTGCAAATGATAAGCTATCTTAATTCTTACCTTGATGGCCTTGGCGCCCTTAATGCTCTTTGCCCATTTATTTCCATCGGGATCACCTTCCTTCCTCTTCCTAGATGCCTTACGCAAATAGAATACCATGACAACACCTACAACTATAGCTGCAACAGTGACCCCACCAATAGCAGCTGCAACAATGATTCCCACGCGTGATTTCTTTGATGCACCCTGGCAAGGGGACAGAGATTTTCCGCAGAGAGCTAAATTATTTTCATAAGTAGAACTAACAGCGTTTCCGAAAAATGGAACAGGCCCGGACAAACGATTGTTTGCTACACTAAACTCCTTGAGTCGACCAAGCAGAGCAAATTCTGGAGGAATTTGACCCGTTAGCTCGTTGCTATCAAGTTTAATCGTGTTTAGGTAGGTTAAATTTGCAAGACCGACAGGGATCTCTCCCGTTAATTGGTTGGAGGAGAGATCAAGGGTCGTTACAAAAGAAATGATTTTTGAGATGTTGGGTGGAATAGCACCAAATATCTTGTTGCTCGAAAGATCTAATCCTGTCAACGCTTCGCATTTGCCAATGCCAACTGGAAATTTTCCCTTCAGCTCCATGTCCGAGAGTCGAATATTTAGCACCTTGCTCTCATCCGGATGCCAACATTCAACCCCCACAAATTTACAGATGAAACCTTCAGTGCTATTATTAAAATCCCAAGAACTTAAGAAGTTAAGTGGATCTTGCAGAGTCTCTTTTACGGATTTAAGGCAATCTATATCGCCCTGAAGAGAATAACATAGACTGGTACTCAAGACCCAGCAAATGAAGATGGTAGAAAGCGTGGTGAGACATCTGTTATTCAACACCATCTTCGACAGTGAACCAGTCACGAACCTCAAGTACCCAAATGATGAAAACCTTCTAAGATACTCGAATGGCACATTTAATATCTTCAAGCATCACAATCAACTGCAAAATAAATTCCACTTTGTCAGAATTCTATACTCCACAAAACTGACAAAAGTTTTTTCAGAACAAGAGAATACTATAAATGCAAGATGAGTCAATCTCAGGCAGAACCCTCATCTAATATTGCCCCAAAATTCATCATTGATAAACACAAAGTGAAAGAAATATCAGTAACTGATGAGGACTACTTAGCACTAGAACAATCTTCATACCCCGAAGAAAAAGAGGAGATACACAATAAAGAAAAGTGACATTAAAGAGCAGATCTTCTCTTTCAAATACATTCCATAAACACAAAGTTTCAAACTTACGCAAAAAAAATGAAAATTTGTAGACACCCTTTGGAGAAAACAAGGAATAAAACACACCAGCATAGGGAAACTCAGAAAAGGGCAATTGAAATGAAAAAGGCAAATCCTATTTCACATAAGAGCTTCTAAAGCTCCTTGATCAATCTTTTAAAATTTTCCAAACAACTCAAAAGACTGAAAGGAAATTCTAAGCAAGTCTTTACACAAAGTAAGAAAAGCAAGGCGCAGACAGAATTTCAAGGGACTATAGTTTTGTTTCACCCCTTAAGGAATTAAAAAAAATAAAAAAATAAACAAAATTAAAGCTAAAGAAAGAACAACGTACTGATTCTCAGAGGGAGGGATCTCTAGAGTGGAGCCGACGTAGAAATGGCGAGAATTGGAAGAGTGATTATATGGTTTGTTCGGGTCAAAGAAGGAAGTTTCATCGTTGCTCGCTGAGGGGAAAAACACTAGACTTTGAGGATGTGGAGAAGAAAAATGGAGGAAGCGTTTAAGAGGACAGCGAGTCAACCACTGATCTTTAGACTCGCTATTTGGGTCTGTTTTCGCCGTGAGAAAAACGGGGGATGTGACAATCGTTATAACGTGCACACGGCGATGCGCGTCCCGCACTTCAAATACGACGTCGTTTTGTTAAGTTGTGTGGGGAACTGATGCGATGCAGTGTATATATATTCTGTTATATAATTATGTATATTTTATTATTAAATTATGTACATTCAAAATAGGAGATTTTTAAAAAGTTAAGAGTTTATGTGTATTATGTTAAAGATTTACGTGTATTATGTTAAAAGTTTATATGTATTATGTATTATGTTAGATTATGTGTATTATCATTTTAAAAAAGTGTATGCGTATTCTGTTATATAATTATGTACATTCTATTATACAATTATGTACATTCGAAACATGGGAATTATTTTTTTAAGAAGTTAACATCAAATATGGAAAAAGTGTATGTGTATTCTATTATACAATTATGTACATTCGAAACATGAGATTTTTTTTTTTAAGAAGTTAACATCAGACTGGAAAATGGAATTTCTAAAAAAAAAAAAAAAAAGTATGAAACGATGTCGTTTTGGGTTAGGACGCACAATACAATGTGCATCCTGGTGCACGATATAATTTGCTGGGATGTGAAGTCTAGCAATTGTTATGCCATGGACCCGAGTCCACCTTGCAAGATGGACTCGGGTCCAAAACGACGCAGTTTTGCGCGTTTGGAATAACAGTGTCATTTTTTTTTTTTTTTTTGTGCATATAAAGTTAAAAAATTGTGAATATAGAGTTTAAAAATTGTGAATATAGATTCAAAAATTGTGTTATACTGTATTGTGAATATAGAGTTTTGAAATTGTGAGTGTGGTTGATTAGACTTTAATTTAGTTCGTGGTGAAAATTGAGCACTTCGCAGTAATAGATGGGCTTATTTGACACTTTTGCCAAATATATTCTAGAAAATGATTTTCCTTATTTTTTAGAATAGATTTTAATTTGTTGGTGTTTGGTTGAATATCAGAAAACTATCTTTTTTTATTTGATTGAAAATTAAGAAATTACAATTTTTTCTGTTTGATTCATTTTCATAAGAACGAACACATTATTTGTTATAATAATAATAATAATAATAATAATAATAATATGTGGTGATGGTGGTGGTGTGGCGTGGTGGTGTTGGTGGTGTAGTAGTAGTGGTGGTGGTGGTGGTGTGGTGGTACAATGGTGGTTGTGGTGGTGTTGGTGTTGGTGGTAGTGGTGGTGGTGGTGGTGGTGATGGTAGTAGTGGTGAGTGGTGATGGTGATGGTGGTGGTATGGTAGTAGTGGTGTTGTAGTAGTGGTGGTGTTGATGCTATGGTTGTGTTGTGGTGTTGGTGGTAATAATAATAATAATCTGGAAACTAACTTAAAAAATAAGGGTGGAAAGAGAGATGAAAAATAAATAATTCAGAAAATGTCTTTCGACTAAAAAATTAAGAAGATATTGTCCACCAAATTAGACATTTTTTTTGTTGACTATAATGAATATTTCCCTTTGACTTCATTTCCTTTAAGTACCCAAACAACTGAAAAATCCAAAAAAATGACTTTCAAAAATCATTTTTCGGATTTCTAAACGAACCCTTATAGCTAAATTTATAACTTATGAAAATTAAGAACTAAACTTATTTTATCCTATCATTTAAGGACCAAAAAAAAAAAGTTTTTTCTTGTTATAGTGCTCTAAATTTGAAATGTTGTTTAAGGGAAATCAAATTATTCCCATTTAAATTACACATCATTCATTAATAATAGATGAATTTTACAATGGCAATTGTATTAGCAATTTGGCCACTGTATTATACTCCATACTTTCTAGTTTACGTGGGTTGAATATTTATATAACTTGTCTAATATTCCTTAAACATACCTACTTATAATTTGTATAAAACAAACTTTATTATCCCTACATAGGGCAGTGGAGGTAAAACATAAATGGAGTTTAAAATTTAAAAAAATAATAATAATAAAAAAAAAGACTCAATACCCAAGTGGTCTATGAAAATAACACATTGGTATATCGCATAAATTTCAAAATCTTTATTGGAGGATATTTTGAATATTATTCTAATATTTAATTATAGGAGGAGCACTAGGTGTTATTAGTAATTTCATTGTAAAGACAATGTCAGTCATAAATTTCTGGTTTTATAATAGTGCTCCAATAGCAATGAAATAATGGACTTCTAGTACCAAAATATCATCAATATCTTCTTCGAGTCTAAATGGTCTTTTATCTACTTCAAAAGATTATTGGACAACCATTAGTGTGATAAGTCAGTGGCACTTGTCCATAAATATGCGTCAAAGACATTTTTCCAAAAATAGACTAATTGGTGTATAAAATTTCTTTCAAGAAAATACTCGATCTGTGGGTCGAGATAATACTTGATTTTTCAAGTCCTTTATTTCCAAAATTTGTCTTTAGACATTAGCTAATATCATTAAGCTCTTTATGTATTTTAATGGTGTTCATAACACCAACATAGACTGAGATAATAAATAACTCCATTAGTAGCCTTTTAATAAGTACATAATGGTACATATTCATTTCTACATTTTCCTACTTCAGTAGAAAATTACTCAGCCAATTGTTTTACTATTTGAAGTTAAGTAAAGCTTTTGTACTTCAACAACAAACATGTTGTGATATTTATTTTCTTTCATTCTGAAAATTATAAATCCATCAAGGATTTGTCCAACATTAGTGTATAATGACCCATAATTATGCGATCATGATGCTCATTAGCTGCATATCTAATTTTTGTTATTATTCTGTCAATTATGTAGCGGAACTTAATGATATTCACCATGGGAGAGTATATATCTGAACTACAAACTCGTTTTATATCACACCACCTCATCATTCTTGTTTTTCTTTTATACAGACACCCATTTGTAACATACATGGTTAATATTTTAATTGTGTTTATGTTATAAAAAGAACATATTTATAAACGAGTTGAGCTGTATACATGTGTCTTAATTGCTCCTTTATACATATAGTCTTACTCCTTTCCTTTTAGTTAGCTATGATGTTCCTTGATAGACTTTTGTTTAGACTTTGGGATTACATGTTTTGGATATTAGTAGTACCCTTGTATGCTATGCTCATGTTTTGAGATGTAGACCTTTGCCTTAGCACTTAGAATAGTATAACCTAAGTGTGGTATAACACTCCTGTTTGATTTTGACTTTGCTTCCACAATTTTATTCTTAGCTTTGAACTTTATTTAGCTATATTTGTCAATTTTATTGCTTTAATTATGCCCTAGAATTGGAGGTGTTACACAGGTATTGGCATATGAAATTAATTCACTATACATAAATTACATACTGATTGTTTGATGATGACACCCATTGACTCATGATGAGAAGATAACAAAATCCCTTGATGCACAAGCTGCTGCAATAATCAATAGAGAGATGCTCTGGCAAAAACCATATTCTAGCCTATTTGATTAGTTGGTTGATGAAATGTATAGGATGCTATTGAATCTTCATCAGTATCAAATGTTGTTCACTTAAAAGCTTCTATTTCTTACTTACATAGGCTTGCGGACAAGATAAATTAAAGGATGTAACACTTTACAATGCTATACTTTTGTTATTGTTATTGAGTTTGAATTTTTTAATACAATATATTTTCGATTATATTATTGAAGTACTATATTATAGGTTTAATGCAAGTATGAGATATTAATTAGCGGGCAATTTTTTTATTAAAATTTTAAAAATTTAGTAACAGACAAAAGCCGTAGCATATCCGTAGCTAAATACCTTCTAACAATAAAGTATGACAATGAAATAGCGACGAATATTTCCGTCTGTAAGTTGTAGTTAAATGGCATCCATTGTAAGCAACAGAAACAAACTAGCGACGGAATATTTCGTCACTATTCCCTTGCAAATTTCGTCTTCCAAATCGTCGAGGGGAGGAAAATAGTGATGGATTTTTTAAGTCTAGCGACAGAATTAGAATTCGTCGCAACACTTTAGCGACAGACAGAATCCGTCGCTAAAGTGAATACGACGGATTTTTCCCTTTCTAGCAACAGAATTTTCCGTCACTATTTTCACGTTTTTTGTAGTGAAGTATTAATCGAATACCGGTAGACTTTTAAAGAGTCTTTAAATGTCTAGATCGAATACAACCAAACTTTTAAAGTCTTTAAAAATTTATAAAAGTCTTGATTGATGAATACACCCACTTTAGATTTGATATCCTTCTTTTCCTTGCTGGTGGTGGTGGTGCATGATGTGTATGCGTGCATTTCAATTCGAACGTGTACATACTACATAGTGCAGTCAATATTAGAGTGTGTATATATAGTGCAATGTATCTGTGTGCACAGTGTAATATAGAAGTGTGCACACGATTCCGGCGACATTCTACGGCATGCACGATATTGTGTATGAGTGCACACAATCGCCTAAAGCAGAGCACACCACCACCTTCTATTGTCCTATGCTCTAAGTGTTTGTTTCGCTAAATTAAATTAAAAGCAAAAGACATCAACAAAACAATCAAATTTTCACCTTCATTAATCAACATTTTGTCCTAGCAACAATTCAATTTTCTTACTGCATTACCTATTTCCACTGTAATTTAGAATTTGATTTCGACAAATTTATCTCTTAATTTGTACTATCCATGAGAGCAACTATCAATTAACAATAATGGTAAAATGGAAACTTTGTATAATTGGATTGGTTGTTAATGTATCAAAGCGGTCATGGATTCATATTTGTGATTCAATTGATTTAGCATTTTAGCTTATTAATCTAGAATAAACTGTAGAAAGCTCAAAACCAACTGGCCTATTAGCTCAGTTGGTTAGAGCGTCGTGCTAATAACGCGAAGGTCGCAGGTTCGAGACCTGCATGGGCCATTTTTATTTCTTACAGCAAAACACACCCTCAGCCCTTCTAAAATTACGAACTCACCCCATGCTCCTACAGTTGAAGTTTGCTCTATTAGATTAATTTAATTTCTG